AAAGATTGAAGTTGTCAAGGACTTCATTCTTCTTGGATCAACTATCAACACTCATGGAAGCAGCAGTCAAGAACTCAAATGACACATTGCATTAGGCAAATTTGCTGCATAAGACCTTTTTTAAGTGCTGAAGAACAAAGATGTCAGCTTGAGGACTAAGGTGCACCTGACCCAAGCCATGGTATTTTCAATAACCTCATATGCATAAAAAAGCTGGGCAGTGAATAAGGAAGAAAGACCATAGAAGAATTGATGCTTTTGAGTTATGGTGTTGGAAGAGAATATTGAAAGTGCCATGAGCTGGCAAAAAAATCAACACATCTGTGTTGGAGGAAGTGCAGTCAGAGTGCTCCCTGGAGGCCAGGATGGCCAAACTTCATCTCTCATACTTCGGACATATTGTCAGGAGGGACCAGTTGCTGGAGAAGGATATTATATTTGGTAAGGTGGAGGGGCAGAGAAAAACAGGAAGACCCCCAGCGAGATGGACTGGCAAAGTGGCAGCATCAATGGGCTCAAGCGTGGCAAAACAGTAAGTAGTGAGGTTGGCCCAGGATCAGGCAGTGTTTCGTTCTGTTGTGCATAGGGTGGCTATGAGCTGGTACCGATCCATGGCACCTAACAACAAAACAGATATTTGGAAAATTCTGCAATAGTATCACAGATATGAAGTTCACACTTTCTGCAGACCGCCATCACAATGCCACCAAAAACACTGTGTCCACTAAACACTATTACACAGCAAAACAATCTTCTTTCACCTTTCAGCCTTATTGTTGTTAAGTGCCATCTAGTCGTTCCAACTCATAGCAGAAAGCTCTCCTACAGAACGGCTGGCGCACTCAAACCACAGGCCTGCGGCTTGCAGCCCAGTGCTTATCATATGGAACCACTGTGCTCCCTTCATTCTGCCTAAACCATTCGTTTATCCAACTATTTATTTAGTTCTCATTTCAGCCAAGTACTGTACCAAACCTAGAGATTCAAAGATCAAGTAGTTTTATGAAAAAAGTAAAAAATAAAACAGGAAGATCTTACTTGGGATAACTTTATAAGTGATGATGTTGTTGTTGCTAAGTGCCAGCAAGTCAGTTTCAACTCACACTGACTCTGCACAGGGTTCAACAGGTTTCTATATAGGTGGGCTTGGACCACCGGCCTTACGGTTAACAGTCCAATGCTTTGCCTACAGAGCCACACAGGTTCATCCAATTCCAATAGTGTAGATTAAAAACACTGAACACAAAATGACTGATACACTACAAAGAGAACCTCTTCTCTCCAAATATGATAGACTTCTACAAAAATCCGTATAGTTTGCTTGTCACTGTAAATATCTGAAACCCTCAATACTTAACTTCTAACATGCCTCATTCTCTCTATATAACAAGCATTAGCACATAGTTCCAGAATATAATTCCAGCCTCGTCTGAAAAGTATAAGTCATGGCATTTCAGTCTGTTTGAGAACAAATCAGTGAATGTGTGGCGTCCTGGTGTGGTGCTGTGGGTTAATGCACTAGACTGCACTACAGGATTGAACCGCAAAGTTGGAGGTTCAAGCTCACCAGCACCTTGGAAAACCTATACAGGGGTCACTATGTGTTGGAACTGACTTGACGGCACTTAACAACAACAAGAACAAGCAAATGTATCTATCAAAAAGGCCTCTATTTCTTTTAACCTCTGTTCAAGATCAAATAGCACACCCTAGAAGAATCCAGTGCAAAGATCATGGAGTAGCTACTAAATTCCAGCACCCTCTGGAGAAGGACACTCCTAGAGATAAGGAGTCCTACAGCTCGTAAATCACCACACCTAACTACAGATCTAAGAAGCTGGCCTAGCCCCCAAGTTTCAAGACTCAGATCTGAATTGAATTCCAATGAACTGTAGATTCCTCGAACTCCAGAAGAGGAAACCTGGAAGATCAAGAGTTCAAGAAACCTCCTAGCACTCTGATTTGAAGATGATCACGGAAGAACTCAGTTTCTTTCTTTCTTTATAATCACTAATCTGGTGATGTTTCCTGATTTTCATTATTATGTTGGTCAGAATCTACATGTAGAGCAATAAAGCAACTTGAACATTATAATCTATCTGATTTATTTTACAAATGAGATATCTGAGGCCTAGGTAAGTTAAACGACTTGCCCAAATATCTAGGAAGTGGCAAATGATAATTTTCATTGTCTAACACCTGCTCCATTACTCTCTCCACTCAGCTGAGACAGATATTTACTCATTTGCGACAGATATTTTGACTATTTAATATGATAAATATGTGTAAGACACCCAGTTATGACAAAGAAGAATATAGTCATCTCCTCAAGGATTCTAAAAACTGGTGGAATTAAAATTTTTTTAACAGTTTTAATACACAAATCATTGTACAAAGACTTGTATGGAATTCCAGAGGAAATTCTGCAATGATCTCAGCTTATAACGTTAATTCTTCATTCTAAATTGAAGCCTTCCATCCTCTACTACTGAAGGTGGATGTCGTGATAAAAGTATGCTGATGATGATAATGAAAATGGCTATTAACAAGATATCTGCTACATGCCAGTCACACTTTTGAAATCTTTATACATATTATCTCATTTACTTCTCACAACTACCTTAGGAGGGAGATACTATTATGATTTCTGTTTTACAAAACACAGAGCAAGAGTAAGTCAATTGCCCAATTAGCAGGTGTTCAAGTTAGGGTTTACACCCAAGTATGACTTCTCTATTACTTCCTCCCAGACTTCTGGCACTGAGTCGGCTCAATTAACTGCAAATTATCTGCCCCCCTGGACTTCAATTTCTTCATCTGTGAAAGGATGGAGTGATCCATATGATGTCCACAGTCTCTTCCAGATCTAGCATTTGGTGATTCACTGATATGAGGTATAGATAATCCCCAGCTTAACAATGGGGTTCTGCTCCAAGGACTCCATCATAAGTCAGCTCTGACATAAATTGAATACCTCATTGTTTTAGTTTTCATTATTATCATTATGGCCTGATATACAGCACTATTTTAAACAATAAATCACTACACTGAACATATATTATGCAAATAAACATCTAAGAATAAAAACCATCAGCAAATTACAGACTACATCATTGTATGTAGTACATACTACTAACAATAAGATGCACACACACAAGAAGATGCTTATAAGAGTAGTTCTTCTCAATTTAAGTATGTTGTAAATCAAGACTTCCTGTATTTAAAAATCTCTTGTGATTCAAAGTAAGGAAAACACTCTGTAGAAGCTAAGGGTGGTCTCTTGACTTTTCATAGATCTCAAGGGAGGGCTTCCAGGCTCAGATATATTTAAAATTAATGGTACAGCCAAGTAACAAAACAACATACAATCATTCACAATGGTGTTTAAGCAAGAAAAGAGGTTTTTAAATATTTCAATGATGTTTCAGAGGAATTTATAAATATCATAGTAAAGTATCATGATATATATACATATATATATATATATGTAAACAGGAAACAATATATGAACTATGTTTTTCAAAACATGAAAGAAACATTGGTTGTATCTGGTGTATATGGAGAACAGATTTAGGGAGATTTTTCTTTCTCTTTTTCCCTCTTTTTCTTTTTTTAATGTAAGCTTAAGTAACCTTGGTAATTAAAGAGGAGAACTTTCTTTATAAAGAGAGAAAAGGTACCTAATATCCTCGTATTGATTTCTCCTGAGAAGAAAGGAAAAAGCTCTCCGGAAAACATCGCAGTAACAACACTGCAGAAATTCCAGAAATACAGGTTTGGAGGAAAACACCATTATTACCTCCTACAAATGTGGAAGGAAAAATTCTCTATTGTCTCAGGTCTAGAATAACTGAAGTTTTAGAGGCTACTCGTGTAATGCTGGCAGGGGGTCTTGGTTTGGAATCCAGGGACACACAGCTCAGACCTGAAAAAAAAGAACAGGTGCAGCAGACCATGAAAGCCAAATGACGCTGGTCCCATCCAGAAATCGCAGCCTGGTGCAGGTTCTCCCTGAGTGGTCCAGCTACACACCATTGGCCAGAAAGTCACATGGCCAAGAGGACTTTCCATGAGCACAAATGCCCTCCCCTCACTACAACGCCACAGCAGAGAGAGAACCAGTAGCATATGACATAAAATCTGCAACTGTTAGTACAAATGAAACAGCCACAGACGAACTAGCTTATGTTTTTATTTAGACTGCAGGGTAAATACATTGTATAGATACATCTGTGTTCATATCTAAACCCATAGTACACATATGGCCCTTGTGCATATAAGAGATCAATTACTATGGCTTTGAATGGTTACAATGAATACTTCACTCTCCATTATTCTTGGAACATTTTGTAAACACACAGAGAGCTATTCTTCTAGTGACTCCCACTTATACTACAAAACACACACACAGGAAAGAGTACTTTTTTTTTTTTTTAATGTTCAGCATGCTATTAATTACATATGAACCCTCTCCGTACTTGACAGGCTTTTTTGTTACTTTGTAGCAAGTAGATAGAGAGATCTGATATGCAAAGAACAGGAAAACTGGGACAGGAAAAGTGAACTCCTCCTTTGGGAGACAGACAGACAATGTGTGGCGTCAACACAGCATCATGCCCTCATTCAGCTGAGGTCTGCATGGGAGACTTCGTATCCAACTTACCAACAGCTCCAGACTTGCCCAAAACATGGATATCAGCTTGGATATCTCCAGCACTAAGACCATGAAGAAGCAGCAACACGAAAGTCCTACATGGGTCTCTTAATTTGGTTAATTTAAAGAGACATTTCTGTTGATTGCTATCAGAATTCATTTGTAATATTATTTTTAAAAATTTGAAAGTTTGAAATGAAAAAGGGGGGGGGGACAGATGTCTCTCTAGTTTAAAAAAAAAAAAAACACTTCTTTTTGTCTGTTTCTAAGTGTGAAGTTGGCACCTATTGACTTTACCTGGCAGTAATTAAATACACCCAACATTAGATAAAGAAATTTAACCTACCTCATCAAAGGTGGTGTCGTCTTTCTTCAAAGCTATAAAATAAAAAGAGAAAGGAAACAGTTACCATGAAACATCTGACAAAGGTCAGAGTATCTAAGTCCTAGAAAACAAAGCAATATGGTGTTTTCATTTCAGAAAGCAAAATTGTGCCCCAACCTGAATAACAATATTATGATACAAATACAAGAACCGCAAATAAGACAGAGAATTGCACAGCATGCATCTTTGTGAAACACTTTTCATAAATATGTAAATGGAACCATCTCACAAGTATGGAAGAACAATATGCATACCTTTCTTCAACTCTTTTTCAATAGGAAAATGTTTTAATGAAAGTTTAAGAGAATCACAAAGCAATTTTTAAAGAAATCTCCCTTCGACTTCTGGTTTATGGGCACATATAATCATGGGTGTGGAGTCCCAGTGTGGTGCTGAAGCATAAGCACTGGATTACTAACCCCAAGGTTGGCAGTTCAAACCTACTAGCCGCTTCTCGGAAACCCTATTCAGGGTTACTATGAGTCAGAACCAACTCTACAGCACTTAACAACAACAGTAATCAGGGTGTTATATGAATCTCGCAGACCAATAGTTGAGATGACACCCACTCTACGCTGTTGTTAAGTGCCATAACAACCTCCTATAGGATTTCCAAGGAACGGCTATTACGTTTGAACCACCAACCTTGGGGTTCAAAACAACTTTGTGGTCCAATGCTTATCCTACAGCGAGTGTCACACCAAGACTCCCTAACTGACATTTTCATACTAACCCAAGTGCAGGTATAAGAACAGGTGTGCAAAATAAAGATTGCTGAGTAAAAGACATACTTCAAACAATGTTCTCAACATGACAGATTTTATAACAATATATGATTCACCAGAAACCATATTGTAGTGCTGGTGACAGTGGAGGCAGTATGCCATCTAGTTGATTCCAACTCATAAGGACCCAATAGGACAGAGTATAGAACTGTCCCTCACAGCTTTCTAGACTGGGGCTTCCAAAGGCTTTCAGTGGCTCATGAGCAATCTTGAAAACGTTCTCTTTGCTGTATACTATAAATCTGTCATTTTAAAGAAATCAAGAAAAATACGGTCATGGCTGTGATCTAAAGGGGTGAGAGTAAGGTGAGGGAGATAAAATGTTCCCAAAAGTTGAATACTTAGTCTTTCCCTTCTGGTTAACAAGCTGATCGATAATAGGTTTCTCCACTTCCCTCATCAGAGAGCACTTTCTTCTGAGTAGAAAATGAAAAGACAGTCCATTTTTACAATAAGATCTAAGACTTTATATGACTTCTAATGGCTACATGTTCACAAGAATTTAAAGCTTCTGATCTAGAAGGCTTTCTTTAAATTCAGTCAACAATGTCACTGAGCTATATTCCACAATCCCTCACCCAAGTGTGTCCTTTAATGAGTATACTTTATTAATAATACCTTCATAAAACATTAGTGACCTACGTAAGTATAGACAAGTTACCCCTCTGAAAAAAAAAATTTAATAAGAAGTGACTAGCTCATTTTTTTCAAATGCAAGATTCCATATAAGCAAATTATTATACAGCCTCATACCTGGTTCACTTAACAAAGACTAATGAAATACACATTATGTAATTGCCAGACAAAATGCAAAGATTATAAATCATAGCACAAACTTCTAGATATATTTTCATTATTCCGGACATAATAGACGATCTAGAAATTTAGTCATGTAAATTTAGTTATGTAAAACATTCCATTAAGAATGACAGCTGATATGCTCCCTTGGGGAATTGCGAACATGGCATGAAAGCCCTCAAGTTGATAGATGGTGAGAGCAGAAAGCTGTAATGTCATCAAAACCCAGAACGAACTGTTTCCTTCCAGCTCCTTACCTACCAGTTACCATCAAATCGTTTCTGATTCATGGTGACCAATGTGTGTCAGAGTAGAACTGTGTTCCACAGGATTTTCAATGGCTGATTTTTCAGAAGTTAATTACTACGCATTTCTTCTGAGACACCTTTTGGCAGACCCAAACCACCAACAATTTGGTCAGCAGCCAAGCATGCTAGCCATTTGCACTACCTAGGGACTCCTCTAGTCCCCTTGTTGTTGTTGTTGTTGTTGTTGTTGTTGAGTGCCGTGGAGTCTGCTCTGACTCATAATGACCCTGTACAGGGTTTCTGAGGCTGTAAATCCTTACGGGAGCAGAAAGCCTCATCTTTCTCCCGTGGAACAGCTGACAGTTTCGAACTGCTGACTGTGAGATTCGCAGCCCAATTCGTAACCACTACACTACCAGAGCCCCCTACATCCTATTAATTCCCCAAACATTCTGGATAAAGAGGTATGTCAGAAGGTGGAAAGAGGGAGAGAAAATAAAAGAGGAAATTGCAGGTGCATTTTCTAAAATGTGAGGATTAGAAAGCCAGATTTTGTCCCCTGCATACTGTTCGCAAACTCAGAATAACACACCAGTGACCATTTTATGATCAAGAAGTTTAGCTTCATTGAAACTCTCCATTTCTAAGTTGGCTCTTCCTTTCTAGATTGATTTCTCCTAAAGGCTGAATTCTTGCCCTGACCAGCAGTTAATACTGACAACAAAGACCAATTAAAAGTGTACTTGTCAGATATTTATCAGATCACTGATGAATAAATTCCAGCCTAAACAAGCACACAACATCTAGTTATTGATTACATCCCTTGAGAGTCATTAATCATTCATGTAAATATAAACCCACAGTTGTCTTCAATGACATCATGGAATAACAAGTATATTATATGATTCTGGATTAACAAAGAGAGAATAAATTAAACCATTTATGGTAATCAGATATTCTATTAAGGAGTCCTGGAATGGCACTGTGGGATAAAGTACTGGACTGCAAGGCCAGTTTGAACCACAAGGTCAACAGTTCAAACTCACCAACCACTCCTCGGAAACCCTATATAGGGTCGCTATGACTTGGAACCAACTTGATGGCACTTAGCAGTAACAACAACATGAAGTAGTCTGGTGAGAGGGAGAGCAATGCATCCCCTACATTTGCCAACAGCAAACTGCATTAACTTCCAGTGTGGTTGTTAAGTGTCGTCAAGTCAGTTCAGACTCAAAGGTTTCTGAGAAGCACCTGGTGGGTCTGAACTGCCAACCTTGCAGTCAGCAGTCCAGTGCTTATCCTACAGTGCCACGCCGGGATTCCAGACTCCATGGCAGAATTTAAAACTCTGTACTGTCATTGCTCATTCTTGTGCCTTTCTCTACAGTCCTGAATATCAGGGAATAGTTTCATTAGTCATGGTATCCGAGTGCCAGCACAACATGTGGTGCATAAGAGGTGAGTGGAAATCAACTGCTGGGGTTTACCTAAGTGGTCAGTCAAAGAACATCATCTTACATATTTGAGACACATTAACGTTTTAGCATATGAAAACCATGCACTGTTCTCTCCTAAAAATGGATGACAGATATAAGTTCTATTTCAAAGTAAAATCCTTTGGGAGTGCACTGAGTAAGGATTTGGAACAACAGTTCAACTTTATAAGTGAACCACCTATAACTCTTACACTTTGCATTTCTCATTTCTAACAGAAAGAATTCACTATCTGACAACCAGAATCTAGAATTACACACTTGTAGCACAAGGCAACAAGAAAAAAATCAGTCTAAGCATAACCTCCCTCCTCTTCCTTTTATTAAATTCTCTTACAAACTACGATATGTATACGGTTCGTCTCAAATATCAGAGTATAAATGTTCTTTTTTCCAGGAGATAATTCTTAATGCATTCATAGGAATATGAAGAAATGTCAGTTTGACCCTAGTCATACACCAGATATGACAAAAAGCTTTTCTCTTCCTAAACTATCTTTCACACATGAAAAAGAAACAAGGGGGAAAAAAGAAAAAATAAAACAAACATATGTGAGACAACTATCGTTGTTGTTGTTAAGTGCTGGCGAGTCGGTTCCAACCCATAGCGACCCTGTATAGGGTTTCCAAGGAGCAGCTAGTGAGCTTGAACCACCGACCTTGCCGTTCAAATGGCTTTGCAGCCTGGTGCATAGTCATTGCTAAATAAGTGACCAGACTGACATTATTTAGCAGAAAACCATAAATACTCACCACTGAAATCGATGGGTGACTTTAAATTTCAATTACACCAGTCTTATAAAAGAACCATAGTTGTATTATAGTTACTCCCTGTCAGATGTTATAAATTAGAATGCTGTGGTTTGGAAGCCAGTGTGTTTTATTAGTCCTTTTATAATGTAGTGTGGCGCTGTGAGTTAATGCGCTGAACTGTAAGCTTGGTTTGATCCTCAAGGCAGGCGGTTCAAGCTCACCACCAGCCACTCCTTGGAAACCCTATACAGGGTCGCTCTGGGTCAGAACCGACTTGATGGCACTTAACAACAACAACAACAACAACAATCTCAGATCAGCTGTATTTGGGGTGTGAATCAACAAGATATTTCCATTTTGACCACATTAATCTTTAGCATGTATACATCATCTCCTATTTAGAAATATTATTAATAAATATTAATTGAGTACATATTTTCCAAACATTGTCACCATTTTCTGTAGAGAAATGTATGTAATTTCTTATGGCTACACAGTAATACTCTACACATCACCACATGACATGCTACACTTGAAACACACAAAAATGCAAAACAAAGCAGTATGTTTATTTCAATAACCATCTTAGACTGCTTGAAGTCAATGAGAGCCTTGAGATGTTAGACTATGCCACAGGAATAGAACATTCACTCTGTGATCTAGCTCCCCATGAAGTGCCAATGAAGAGAAAGGGAAGACACAGGATACATATGGAGAAATTGGAAGATCCAGTATTGATCGTCACCATGTGATAGATATTGCACTAGATATTTTATGCATCTTATCTGGTTTAATCTTCAGAACAACCTTATGAATATTTACAGCGGACTCTGAAGTTTAAGGAAATTCTGCCAGCTACCTAGACAAAAACAAGCAAGGAAAACAGGGCTCAAATCCTATTTTCAGGTTGGCTATACTCTTGTTTCCAACTTTTAAAACCACCTGTCTCAGTATGATGTAATTGCTAATAATGATAATATACTGTGAAGACTTATCAAATCCTTAGTAAATACCAAAAGGACATTGTTATGTGTTATTTCCCTATGTACCAACAAAAACCTGAATTGTACATGAAAAACTGAAGCTCCAAGAAGTTGAGGGACTTGTCCAAGTTCATTCAGTTAAGAGTGGCAACACCTAAAATCCCCAATCTTCACACACAATTGTTGTTAAGTGCCATCGAGTCAGTTCCAACTGATAATGACCCTGTATAGGGTCTCCGGGGTGCGGCTGGTAAGCTTGAACCACTGACCTTGTAGTTCAAACTGACCTTTAACCCGTAGCGCACACCAGGACTCACACACAGTAGGTACTCTTCAACCATGCTCTAACTATATAATTCCATAGGTAAAGCTTCAATCCAACAGCCTCCACTGCCTTAAAATCCTGAAATACTGAGAATGACTTCACTGCTTTTCATTTTATAAATATAATATAAAATATCAAGAAAATAAGTAGATAACAAAGATTTATTTTCTTGTAATATAATTTCTGATGTCTTGAGCTTGGTACAGAGGCATAATCACTTAAAATTTCATCTTCTTTTATAGTATTCTACAATGACATTTGCTATTCAGAATCATTACTGAATTCTATAATTCACCACTGCAGTTTCTTACTGAACCTCCATCAATACAAGAAATAATCAGTTATATTCACTGCACTGTACTCTGCTTCCTAAAGATAGGAAGTAAAATCTACTAGGAGATCTTAGAAGACATTTTAAACAAGAGCTGGAATCAAAAGGAATTTCACATCACTAAATCTCAGTAAACTAGAAAATCCAATTAACCATAATACTCCATTTGCCAACACTGTAGCTAATCCAAATTTTCTGATCGTCGATCAAAACTTTGAAATTATTTAAACATAAGGAATTTTTATATTAATGTCCTTGGTTTCTTAGTGAGACTCAGTTGTAATGAATTATTTAGTACAGAACTGGAAGGGCTCCAACAGAGTCATTAGCATTAGTAAATATACAGTGAATGTGTTTTAGAACAAGACTTTAATGGACTCCAGAACCTGCATTTGTGATAACTGGGTTGGAGGCTAAAACACCCTAGTTAATAATGCACACCAACTCAACACCTCACTCTCTCACACTTCTTGGCTGCAAACTTCATGTGAATGTAAGACTCCCCATATGTATTCCTAACTCTGAATAGTGCAACTGCAAATATCCAATACATGCAATAAATAAAACCAGTATCGGTTGCACAGCATAACTTTGCAGTCAGTTTGGAAAAGATTTTGTCAATGCAAAAATTTTAAAGACAACAAAGAAAGCTCAGCTAAATTTTGATCCCTGCTTTGTGTCACGTGGTGAAAGTTTACATAGCTTAATGATGCACTTATACAATGATTTTTAAAGGAATGGATGAAAGGATGACTGTCAGATTTATGTGCACTTTTAACAGTCCAGGATTTTATTTTCTTTTTAATGTATTGTACACATGTATGCTTAATTTCCATTAACACCTTCATTAACATGGATGTATGTTAAACAAGGGAAACAAAGGATAGATGGTTTCTTGAGTCTCTAAGGGGTTATTTTTCCAGTTCCTATGATTTTCTTGCTGAGTACAATTACCTGTATAAAGGAAAGTATGACAGCAGAGAAGGCAGCCACCCATTCTTGTTACAAGGGGTTTTGTATGACCTACACTCGAACTCTAACAAACCATTCCACGTGACACTGTTGTCACCCTGTCATAGCCTGTGACATGGTTTTATTCTTAAATGTCCGAAACATTTCTAGGTAGGTTTTTATTAGTGGGTTGGTTGATTTAAAGACAATAGCCCCTGAGCTGCAGTAAATGGAACTTTGGGAGACTTAGTGCTAAACGTTCATATAACTTCACAGCGTGGATTTCTCTGGAGTAACGGAAGGATTCAAAGACCATGGGACTCACACCCAAATCTCAGTGTCTATGACCCAAAGTACTGAACAAAAGGTCCCAAGGTATCAGTCTCATTTCCCTTTTGGCTTGGATATGCTGGACAATGCCAAGACGCAACACAACGTTTCACCAATTTCCAAAGCTTTCCAAAGCTGAATTATTGACACTCTGTATCAAACCCTGATTGCAAAAAATAACAAGTAACCCGGGCAGCATCACTGCCCCGGGATCCGGGCATCAGAACACCAATATCCTGCGGGCGCGAAAGTCCAAGCAATAGAGGCTTAAAGGCGGAACCCAAACTGTACGCTTGAAATCGTCCATAAATGAACCCCCAGGTCCTAAGGAGAGAGGTGTCGCTCTCTCACCGAACTCCCTCAGGTCCCGGGCACTGTCCCCTCCTATCCCCGTGTGCAGCGCAGTGCACCCCACGCCAGCCCTGGGTGACCGCTGCATTGCTATGCCAGGAGCGCGGCGGGGCACTGGGCCGAGAGAGGACGGCGACCGGGGCGCCGAGCAGGGTGCCCGGGCAGCGCGCCACTCACCAATGCGGCTGAAACTCTCCGACAAAGTTCTCCGCAACTTCTTCATCTTGCCGATCTTCTCCGCCGGCTGCGGTTCAATGAGGTCACACATCTGGGCAACGCGGGGACAGGGCAACTTCCCCAAACTGGTCCAGAGCAGAGCGCAGACAACGGCGAGGGCGCGCGGCGCGGGGAAGGCGGCGCCTCCTCCTCCTCCGCCTCCTTCGCGGGCCAGGAGGCGACGCGCAGGGCTCGGAGGCGAACGGCCAGCGGCCAGGCTCCACTCGGGCCTGGGCCCCGACTGGGCGTGCGGGCCGGGGCGTTCTACGTGGTGCCGGGGGCGGCTGCGCTCGCCGCCTCCGTGGTGGCCTCGCGCCGCGCCGCCGCCGCTGGGCTCATTTTCCCTCCTTTGTAACAGAGCGAAGCGCGGTCGGCAGACGGCAGGGGGGGCGACGCGGCCGGAGGCGAAGGCGGGGCGGGCGGAGAACGAGGTGCGGTATCCAGGGGTCGCGGAGCGCACCCTGCGCTGGCGGGGCGGGGAGAAGTTCTCAGCCCCGACTTGCAGGCGCTCGGGAGAAAGAACAGTGGCGCTGAATCGCCACCCCGTGCCACGGTCCTCAAAGCCCCTCTCGCCCCTGCCCCGGAGACCCCTCGCAGCAGGCCCCGGGCATGGGACCTCAGCGCGGCCTCAGCTCCTGCGCGAAGCCCGTGTTCTCGGCTGTCCTCCGCTTCGCGCCCAGGCGGCGCCCCCTCACGGCCGCCCCCACTCGTCTGGAGACCCTGGCCGCCCCGCCCGCTAGTTCTGAGGCCGGGGCCGGTGGAGGGAAGAGGCAGGGCTGGAGATTGAGCGGGTGACTACCGAAAGGGGAAAGGGGCCGAGTCCACTGCCTTAATCGGCGTGAAACAATGCCAAGCGGGGGAGGAGGGGGCTATGACTGCCCCTGGGACGGAGAGGGGTGGTGACTAAGTCTCGGGTTGTTGTTGTTGTTAAGTGCCATGGAGTCGGTTCCAACCCATAGCGACCCTGCTTAGGGTTTCCAAGGAGCAATTGGTGAGCTTGAACCGGCGACCTTCTGGTTCAAACCAACTTTGCAATCCAGCGCATTAGCCCACAGCGCCACACCAGGTACCAGGTAGAGTGGCAGATTTGAGAGTGACTCCCCCTCCCCCACCCCACCACCCCTGTCCCTCTACCATCACCCCCACCCACCCCCACATTCTTGCTTGTGAAGTAAAGTATCCAAGGTGAAGAAGGGACTGTTCTTTGTTTTTTTTTAAGGAAGGTCAAGTGCGTAAGTGGAAGCTTCAATTGTAACCCTCTGGAAGGCAGGCCTGACTGCTTCTCTTGCCTCTAGTTCTGGCTTTGGATGACAAAAGGGAAAGTGAATTTCAATTGTTTTCACATGTGACTATGTGGTAACTAGCAAACTGAAAATCTTGATATGTTTCTTTTCGATGTTTACAGTACTCATATATTTCTGATTTGGAAGAACTAGGAAGCCAAAAAGATTCTTCCTTTTCTCCCAACTCAGACATATTAAGTAACTGTTTAAAGGAGTGGGGCAGGCTGGGGAGGGCTTTTGAATCCCAGACAAATAGTTCAGGCAGCAAACACAGTATTCATTCTAATAAAACTTGGTGTTTCAAGCACTCCAAAAGTCAGTCTCCCAGGGGAGAGAGACGGAAGATGGGGGAGGACCAGAATGTTTTGGTTTGGGGCCAGCAAACTAATTACGAATATAAATGTTAGCAATGTTGAGTTATCTGGCTATGTAAGGTATAAGAACTTGTGAGAATGGGACAGTACTGTTTGGGTTAAAGGAAGTTTGGGGGAGTTTGTATTATGTTAAAAGACTTTTATCTTAAAACAAAATCTAGCCCCCTGCCTTCCTCAAATTGTGAGATAGAACACTTACATTTGTTCTGCCCTGCTCTGAGCACATCATAGACTCTAAATAGATTGTACCTGATAAAAGACAGGAAGTCAAGCCAAGTGGGGAGCAGAGATGGTGTGGAATTCTTCAGCAAAGTGGCCTGAATTAAAATGCAAGGATGTTTGGTCCTGGTGGCCATATCTAGATATTACAGACAGCTTCAAGTGTGGTGTTATACAGGAAAGAGTTTGACTTTTACCACTTCCTCAGGTTAGTTAGGGAGAAAGTTATTAGCAGTTGTGAATGAAAAAACAAAGTAACCAATCAAAACACTAATGGATTTACAAGTCAACAAAAGTTAAATATATTCATTTTAATAATCTTTTGATAATTATATGTGACTAAGCTATTATTCATTCTGACAATGGTTGTCTTAAAGATACTTTTGTTAAATATATATTTGCTTTGCTTCCCCATATCTTCAATTTTTAAAAGAAAGTCAACTCAGGCTTAAATAAATCATGGCATATGCATATAAACTATAGTACACAAAATTTTAATGACATAAATTTATATGTGGTGGTGGTGATTATGTGCCATGGAGTCGGTTCCAACTCATAGTGACCCTGTATAGGGTTTACAAGGCTGTAAATGTTTACTGGAGCAGAAAGCTTCATCTTTCTCCCACAGAACCACTGTAGTTTTGAACTTCTGACCTTGAGATTAGGAACCTGACTTGTAACCACTACAGCACCAAAACTCTTTAAATCTATATATACCAATGTAGAAATATACTTAGAATCTAGTAACTAACAACCACTCATCTGTCAGTTTATCATACTGGGGTGACTTGAGTGTTGCTGTACTTCTGGAAGATATGCCACAGGTATTTTAAACACAAGCAGGGTCACCCATGGAGGACAGGTTTCAGGTAGGCTTTCAGACCAAGACAGACTAGAAAAAAGGAGATAAGGACTACTTCTGAATATTTGGTCACTGAAAAACCTTATGAATGGCAGTGGAAGACTATCAGATAGCACCAGAATATTGAATACTGAAACATGAAGAACACCAAAACATTCTGTCAGTTACAGTGCCAAAAGATGAGCCATTCAGTTTGGAAGGCACTCAAAATATCACCGGGAAAGAGCTGCCTCCTCAAACTAGAGTTGACTGTGATGAAGCAAATGGAGTAAAACCTTTGGGACTTTCGTTTGCTGATGGGGCACAACTCAAAACAAAGAGAAACAGCTGTAAACATTAATAATCAAAACACAGAATGTGCAAAGTGTGACTTTAAGAAAACTGGAAATTGTATAAATGAAGTGGAACACATAAACATCGATATCCTAGACATTTAGTGAGCTGAAATGAACTGGTATTGGCCATTCTGAATCTGATAATCGCAAGGTTTACTATGCCTGGAATGACAAATTGAAGAGGAATGGCATTGCATTCATCATCAAAAAGAACATATCAAGATCTGTATTGAAGTACAACACCGTATGTGATAGGACAATATCTATACTTTACAAGGCAGTACTTAACAACAAGGAAGATCAGTTCATACGATTATTATTCAACTTTACGCACCAATCACTAAAGCCATTGATGATGAAATTGAAGAATTCTATGAACTTCTTTTGTCTGAAATTGATCAGTGACGCAATCAAGTTGTATTGATAATTACTAGTGATTGGAATGCAAAAATTGGAAACAGGAAGGATCAGTAGTTGGCAAATACAGCCTTGGTGAGATAAATGATGCTGGAGATTGCATGATGGAATTTTGCAAGACCAATGACTTCTTCATTGCTAATACCTTTTTTAAACAACATAAAATAATACTATACACATGAACCTCACGAGATTGAATACACGTATCAAATTGACTACGTCTATGGAAATAGACAGTAGAAAAGCTCCATATCATCAGCCAAAACAAGGCCCGAGGCAGAATGTGCAACAGATCTTCAATTGCTCATTACCAAGTTCATGCTGAAAATAAAACAAGTCCATGAGAACCAAAATGTGACCCTAACCATATCCCACCTGAATTTAGAAATCATTTGAAAAACAGATTTGATGCATCAGATACTAAAGACTGAAGACCAGAAGAGTTGTAGGATGACATCAAGAACATCATATGGAAAAAAAAAAGAAATATCATTAAGAACACAAGAAAGAAGGAAAAGAACAAAATGGATGTCAGAAAAGACTCTGAAACTTGCTCTCCAGTATAGAGATACTAAAGCAAATGGAAGAAATAAGCAGGTACAAGAACTGAATAGAAAGTTTCAAAGAGCAGCTAGAGAAGACAAAGTCAAATATTATAACGAAATGTGCAGAGTCCTGGAGTTAAAAAACCAAAAGGGAAGAACATACTCAGCATTTCTTAAGCAGAGAGAACTGAAGAAAAAATTCAAGCCTGGACTTGAAATGTTGAAGGATTCTATGGGCAAAATATTGAATGATGTAGAAAGCATCTAAAGAAGATGGAAAGAATACACAGAGTTACTGTACTTCAAAAGAAATAGTTGCTATTCAACCATTTCAAGTGGTAGCATATGACCAAGAGTCAATGATACTGAAAAAGAAATCCAAGGTGCATTGAAGCCTTTGGCAAAGACCAAGGCACCAGGAGTTGATGGAATACAAATTGAAATACAATCACAGATGGTGTTGTACTTCACGACAGATCTTGATATGTTCTTTTTGATGATGAATGCAGTGCCATTCCTCTTTAATTTGTCATTCCAGGCATAATAAACTATGTGATTGTCAGCTTCAGAATGGCCAATACCAGTCCATTTCAGCTCACTAATGCATAGGATATCGATGTTTATGTGTTCCATTGCATTTTTTACAATTTCCAGTTATCCTAGATTCATACTTTGTACATTCCATGTTCTGATTATGAATGAATGTTTACAGCTGTTTCTCTTTGTTTTTAGTTGTGCCCCATCAGCAAATGAAAGTCCAAAGGTTTTACTCCATTTGCTTTATCACAGTCAACTCTACTTTGAGGCAGCAGCCCTTTCCCGGTGATATTTTGAGTGCCTTCCAAACTGAATGGCTCATCTTTTGGCACTGTAACTGACAATGTTCTCGTGTTCTTCATCATGTTTCAGTATTCAACATTCTGGTGCTATCTGACAGTATTCCACTGCCATTCATAAGGTTATCAGTGACCGAGTATTTAGAAGGAGTTCATCTTCCCTTCTTTCTAATATGTTTTTGTCTGAAAGATCATCTCAAACCTGTCCTCCATGGGTGACCCTGCTTGTGCTTAAAATACCTGTGGCATATCTTCCAGAAGTACAGCAACACTCAAGTCACCACAGTCCAGCAAACTGACAGATCGGTGGTGACCAGGATGCCTACCTGCCTCTAAAACATCAACCCCACCACCTTCAGGAAAAAAGAAAAAAAAAAAACTGAGTGTGTAT